TAATTGATTAATTGATTTATGATGTAGAATTCATGCTTAGATTGTTATTTTGATTCCTAGTATCATGTCTAGGGTATCTTTAATATTAAGTATGATTAAAAGTATGATGCTTCCTATATTCTCCCTAATATTTATTATTATTATATTTATGATTGATATTATTATTATGATTGATTATTATTATTTATTATGTTGCTTGATTATTTTATTTTTTATTGCTTGATCACCTTTTATTGCATGTTTAAAGGGAATTTGTATTTGCAACCACGCTTCATAAGATATTTAATAATCTTGTTAGGTTAAGTGTGATTATAATTCAAGTGATCGCCAATAATAGTTTATTTGTGCATTAATATTCAACCAACATAGATTAAACAGGTTTAGGGTTAATCCTATTGATTGTATGTTAGTCAGAAAGCGCACATGAATACGAGCAGAATAAAGCAGAGGCCTATTATTAGGGCAGGTTCAATCTCTTTTAGGTTGGATTTGTACCATCATCCCCAAACCCTTATTTGGTTCATGACCTTATGGAGTTGACGATCTCTTGGATCGTTAAGGGGTGTAACCTTCACCTCATGAACGGTTTACAAGTTCCTTAAAAACTTGTTGGCGACTCTTTTGCTCTATGTTCTTCCCTTTTGGACGCCACTGTACATTAGTGTATGATCACAATGGGGTTCAAGCTAGTGGGATTTTAAAGGCTTGAAATTATTCCCTACAATAGCAATGAAACACCTAGGATGGAACCCAACCAGGCATAGGAAAATGGAAGGTTCTACCCTCATGGACCTAGCATACTTAGGGGGCCTTAACTGGGTGCAACCTATGGGAGGTGAGACATGGTGGATAGTCCACCAGGAATCGGGTAAGAGAGACCAAGCTTTCAAACTACCCAACCCCGCCTTGACCAAATTTGAGAAGGGGAAGCCTTCCTACACTTTTGAGTTAGATGGTCAAGGCGAGGTTAAAGAGCCTCACCATTCACCACAACCCCACCATTCACTACAATACCAACCACCACCCCAATACCAAGCACCACCCCAACCCTACACATACGGCATACCCACCTCCGTCGATATAACATTGACCACCATGCCCCTTATGACTTTTCGGCTTTTAGGAGCCAACTAGACCGCATAGAGAGAGGGCAAGGGAGAGTGGAGGGCATGGTGCAAAACCCAGACTCTAGATTAGGCACTCTATATCGGAGGTAGGACATGTTGAGAGGAACCTCGGGAGGGGTTTATACACTATGTATGACGATTATGCACGCCGAGGGGCTATTCCCCCTGAGGCGTTAGTTCCCGATTGGTTTCAATACCCCAAGGAGGGTATTCGACCCCCGGAGCCTTTGGTACTTATGTGGACTACTCTTCAGTCCATGGTTATGGGGTCGATGCTCCTTTTGGGGGGGATGGGAGGAAATGTGGACCCTAACTACTTTGCAGGTGGTTCGGGCTACGGTGGTGCTGGTACGAACCAGGGTGGTGCCGGCTCCTTTGGAGGAGGCTACCAGAGGATCCATGATGATGATGATGAGGAGTAGCTTCTCCTAGTTACACTCCCAAGTCAATGAGGGCATTGCTTGATTTGGCTTGGGGGAAGATATTTTGTACATATGGTAACTCTTTCTCTCTTTTCTCTATTTATTGCTTTCTAGTGTAATTTTTATTGCTTTCCTTTATGAAAAAATACAAAAAAAAATTGAAAAATATAAAAAATTCAAAATTACATTCCAATAATTTGTAAATCATGCTTCCCTGTGTCCCATACATGGAAAATATTGTTTTGATTCTTGGTATATGATGATAAGTATTGTTAATTTGTTGATCATGATTTTAAATTTGATTGCTTAGATGTCCTAACATGCGTCAATTTTGCCCAACTGCTTGTGAATATAGTGCTTGACTTGTTAATTTGGTTAGGAATGTGTGATAGTTCCTGGTATGTCAATGAATTTGATTATTGGTTTGCAACTATAAGTAATATTTATATGACTCATTATTATGCACATTGAGGAGGACGAAGACGTTCATTCTTTTAGGTGGTCTTCAGACAATTGTAGATACATTTGTTCCCTTCTTTCTACCTATGTTGTTGCCTTCACTTTTTGTTGTTTATTAGCCACATTACAAACCTATTCTGCCCCATTGGTTTCTAGTCCCAAGCTTGGCTTGGGGGAGCTATCAGTGAGTGAGGTGAGGGAGTTTGTAGTGTGCTTATTATTTGCATAATTTTGGTGGGTTTTGAGAAGTTATTTTGTTCTTGATCGTATTTTATTTTTAATGAGTTTGAAAGTTTAATTTTCTTGAAAAAATAAGGCATGATGATATGAAAAAAAAGAGGAGTTCAAGAAAAAAAAGTGAAGAAAAATAAGTGAGCTTCAAAAGAAAAAAAAAGAGCAAAAGAAAAAAAATTGTTTAATGTTCAAATGTTCTAGTTGGAGGTTGATCAAAAGAAAGAAAAAAATTTAGAAGTTGAGTTTCAATGAAATATTGAAGTTTGGAAAAAAAAAGTTTGTTTATTCACTCTAGTTCTACATTATCATCTTTTTACGAGTGATTTTGTAAGTGTTGGGATTGTTGTTTATGATTGGAGTATATTTGGTGGATTTTTGTTAGAGTTGGTTATGTAGGAGATGTTGATCCTTATTTATTTTTAATCATGGGTTTTACTAGGATTTGCTCCCTTAAGCATTGCTTTTCTCTCACTTGTTCCCAAATGATTCTTACCCCTTACCCTAGCCTTACATTACAAGGTTTAAAGACCTTCCGACCTATGTGCATAGAGTTGTATGATGTGAAAGTGTTGTTTATCAATGCAAGTTATGATTTGACATATTTCGAGTCGACTAGTAGGTTGAGTGTGCATTTTTTATACACACGAGAGTGTGAGTTGGGAGGGCATTGTTCACATAAAGGGGTTGGATGGAGAGCGATCGAGTACATCTTTTACTCGCCACATAAATTAGAGTTGAGTGTGTGAGCACTAGTCATGAATTATATATGCTCTTGTGCTTTGCTCTATTTGACAATTGTTAGGGAGGAAGAGTAATTGGATGGATTTGATTGGTTGACTATAAAGCACGTTTATTAGATTTACCTTGAATTGTTTGTGCTTGAATTTTACTTTTTGGGGTGAAGCATATTTATTTATTCATTGAGGAGATTTTTTCTTAGGGACAAGCAAAGGTTTTGCTTGGGGGAGTTTGATATGTCTATTTTATATAGTATTTTACCCCCATCCCTTGGTCATAATTAGTAGTTTTTTTGGCTCTTTAGAGCCACTTTTATTACTAATTGGTGTTTTCTAATGTTTTTGTAGTTTTGCTTGAGTTTTGTAGGAAATTGCACATTTAAAGCATATTCCGGGTTTTTCATGGAGCAAATACGAACATTAAGAGGACACGACCATCTTTGAAGCCCAGGACCGGTTAGAACCAGTGATTAAGGGCTCGGTGTGTGATACTGGGGCATTTGGACCATGTATTCAAGAACCGAAGAGGAAATCCGGATTGGGCCGAAGAATCAAGCCCAATCGAAGTCCAAGCCTCGAAGAGAAGACCGGGCCCGATCGGGCAAGCTTGCGCCCGATCGGGCGGGCGCGCAGAAGAAGGCACTAACAAAAGGCACAACCGATTGGGTGAGCATTAGCTCGATCGGGCGCGGCTACCCAGGAAGACCTTGAAGAAAAAGGCGGGCCCGACCGGGCGGCCCTTCGCCCAATCAGGCGCGTGTTTTTGGAGGCACCTGATTGCCGAGATCTTAGTCTTCAATTAGGATTTGTTTTAGGGATGTTTAAGTACGATTTTTAAACGTAATTTTGATTACCTTCTTTTTAGAGTTTCTCTCTCGATTTAGAATATTTTCTCTCTCTTAAATTCTCTCAACTTTGTTCTGAATTCCATTCCTTATTCCAGATTACTTTTTGTAACAATTTCTTCTCTTTTAATTTCAGTTATTTTCTTTAATTCTTTCATCATGTCTTATTTTATTGTTTTGATTAGTTTAGATTTAATTATGCGTGAGTAGTTTTATTTCTAAGGTTTATGGGGATGTAATAAATAATATGAAGGGGTAATTTGTGATAGTTGATTATCAATGCTTGATTATTTTCCTATTGATTGATTTAATGCTATGCAATTAGGTTTGGCCAGATTTAATTTTATAAGTTTAGCAATATTGATTCGAGATTCGAAAGATGAGAATTGATGTTTAGGCTTAGTTTCAATAGGCGGACTACTTTATAAATGGTTAAGTCGAGATTCGAGAGATGAGATTTAATGCCGGTAAATTAACTCTGTGATTGTAATACGTAGCGAAAACCCTTTATAATCTGATTAATTGATGCATTATGATTTCTTATTATGATTTACCCTGGAATATTGTTTATTGGTGAACCTATGTCTAGGTTTTTCCTTCATTGATTTACCTCTTATTTTACTCCCTTCCTACTCTTACCTTTAGTAGTTTAATTTCCTTTTTACAATAATGTGGTTACTTGATAATTTAGATTGGTTCTAATTAATTACGAATAAGTTGACTTGTTTTCCTGTGGTTCGACCCTTCTTCCCTATCTACATAGTTAGTGGATTTAGGTTTTATTTTTGATTAGGTGAATACGACTTGAACCTGTCAATCTCGCAGCATAACAATTTCTAATTTATAATAACAGTATTGTGTTCTTTAATAACATATTCCACTTATGCGACAAAAGTATACAAATATAACAATTAATTTCTAATACAAACACGTAGCATTTTAATATATAAGTACTTATGAAAAGAGCAAAATACACCTCGCAAACAGTATTAAAGAAACAGATAATAGTATTACATTTATTATAACAAGATCAAATTTAAAATAACAGTATTAAAATAGAAAATGATGTTTTTCCAACACTTAGCGAATTTTTTTTTTCAACGTAGGTATGGACCTTCGTTGTCCCTACCTGATAGTGGGCAATACTTTCTACAAACAAAGAGCTTCACTTTTGAAAATTAAAGAGGGTCCTGCATGTTACCTTATAACATAGAGTATATAACTTTCTCTTTTTCCTTCACTATTCTCTACCTTTTTCCATTATCAGTTATAGCTTACTCTTTTTATACGCCTAAATTTGTCCCCCTTAAACAATTTTTTTTTTTTTTATAATTTTTTTTTAACATATAAAATGGAAAAGGAGAACTAAACTAAAAGAGCAGCTCCTCCTTATAAGTATAACCGGTCATCATATTCTTTCATTCGACATTCGTATTCTACAAAGGCATAAGAAACAAGCTAAGAATGTTTCACCCTGAAAGTCCTTCTTCCACTATTATGAATAATTTTAATGAAAGGTCATCTTCATCTTCTATGTGTGCTCAAAGCGATTCCGGCCTCATCCTCACTACCGATCCCAAGCCTCGTCTTCGTTGGACTCTAGAGCTCCACGACCGATTCGTCGATGCTGTTGCTCAACTTGGTGGCCCTGATAGTAATATTTCTTATTTACATGTCTTAATTAAATTGATATGTTTTTATCATATGTATAATCTCTAAAATTTCCGTGCTAGGTTTCTTTTTTTAAAAAGAATTGTGATTACTACTATTAATTGTAATGAAGTTATATATTATACAGAAGCTACACCAAAGACTATCATGAGAGTAATGGGCGTTAAAGGTCTCACTTTGTACCATCTCAAGAGTCATCTTCAGGTTAAATTTCGGTTTTCCCTTTTTTCTTTTTTCTTTTTTTTTTTTTTTTTTTAAGGTTATTTTGATTATTAATTGCATTTGTATTAGTTCAGTTGATCTAATTAACACTATTCTCGTATTTATTCAAAAAGAAATTCAGGTTAGGAAAGCATCCGCACAATAAGGAATTGTATGATCACTCCGTTAAGGATGGTAAGAGGGATCACTGACCATAAATAAAATTACGTTAGCCTAGGGTTACGAATGCTCCATTTGTAGATTTCATAATATCCCCAATTAATTTTATATTTTAATACTTTATTTATATATATTATTTAATTCATATATATATATATATATATATATATATATATATTAATCATTGTAGGTATGAAATGGTCACTTAAATTCTGAATGCATGATAAAAGTGCAATGTACACTAGATTAATCATCATTAAGTGTGTTTGTGTTGTATAATGATATACTTACAAATCTTACATTTATTACCATCACTTCTTCAATGATTTTGTGAATTTTGTACGTATATTTACCTATATTTTTAGCTTAGTAAGTGATCATATTTTTTGTTGGATATGTGTCTTCGTGCAGTACTGGTAGACTAGTAGTTGTGCTAATCCTTATTCGTGAAAAGAAATATAAATTGTTTGTTGGGTACAAAGTTCCCTAATAGCAATCGAGGTGTCTGATTGACGTCAGATCGAGTTAAACAGTTTTAAATTTAATTCATGTTATGTGTTAATACAAGTAAAAATCCGAATAAGGTTTTAACCAAGGTGATTCACGATAAAATCGATGGAGTCAGGTTTTTACACAAGTGGTACGGTGTTTGTTATTCATTTCTAGGTCAATTGTTGCACATGCAAATTAACCTAGTTATGGTTATGTTTTATTAAACTTAATTTGTCTTAACGTATTCTAATTGGAACAAAATTTATTTTAATATAACATAATATAATGTTTATATGATTTTGCAAAAAATACTTTAACTATCATATCATATAAAATAGCTTATACTTTGTATGACTTTTTCTGAATTTATTTTCAATGGTCTAAAGTTAATGAAACTCAACTAAACTTATTTAATTTGAAATTAAATAACTATAACAAATACTAAGATTCCTAACTCAATTGTGTCTTTATTCATTGATATCCTTATTTTTAGTTGTATCTTCTTCATTGGAGGCTCATAGGGATACTACTTTTTCATCCGGATTTATGAACCGCAATATAAACGAGTAGGTGCTTTATCACTTCCATTATATTTCTTTATTAGCAAGTACATTTTTTTTTTCTTCTAATACTAGAATATCACTTTATTAAGGCAACTTCTAATTGAAGTAACTGAACTATCCCTTCTTCGTCAAAATCTTTATTTCTGGCATTGTTCTTTTGCACTTTTCCTTTCCTTTTTTTTTCCCTTTAATTAATATATGTTACACTTATGTTACCCACTTAATTAAATAATCTGTGTTTTAACAATTGCAGGAACAATGTGCATATTGGTGATGCAATCCAGATGCAAATGGAAGTGCAAAGGAGACTCCAAGAACAATTAGAGGTCAGACAAAAATAATAAATACCTTCTGATTCTGCTATTCTATATTTCTATCAATTTTGTGTTCTCTTAAATTTAAAAGATAAACATTATGCTTTTCCATTGACATACAAATAACCTAGAATATCATTATTAGTATGTCAATGGAAAAGCATAATGTTTATCTTTTAAATTTGTACATTCGGTTTTCAGTCAAATAAAAACATTTAGAATGTTATTTACACTTTTCTATTGTAGGTTTTCAAATTTATCATGATTTTAATAAGCTTGACAAAAAAATTTTGTTTATTAATACGCTAATAAATAAGCCTAGTTGTTACATTTCTAGTCATAGTTTTCTCAATAAATATAATATCGATCAATAATAAAAATAGACTAATTTTTTTATTCTTTGTATTATATATATATATATAGGGGAAGGCTCTCGTCAGAATTTTTCTTATATGAGAATTTTTCTTATGTGAGAACACTCTTTATGTTCTAAATTTTTACTCGTATGTTCTAAATTTTAAATCTGATGTTCTAAACTTTTTTTTAGGTGTTCTAAATTAAATCAAATGTTCTAATTTATTACTCACATGTTCTAAATCATAAATTAGTTAAGCTTGATGTCATAAATTTTAAATAACTTGTTCCAAACTTTTAACTTTATGTTCTAAATTTTAAAACGTGTGTTCTAAGATTTTTAATTATATGTTCCAGATTTTCTAAGATTTTTTAATTATATGTTTCAGATTTTAAAGCGTATGTTCTATTTTTTTTACTCGTATGTTCTAAATTCTTTACTCACACTTTCTATATTCAATATCAGTTTGTTCTAAATTTTTATTCACATATTCATAATCTTATATCAAGTGTTCTAAATGTTACTCATATGTTTAAAATTTCATAAAGCAAATTTTATAAATTTTTAATCACTTGTTCTAATTCTTAAATCAAATGTTCTAACATATTACTCACACAAATGTTCTAAATTATTACTCATATGTTCAAAATTTTAATTTGAGTCACATGTTCTAAATTTTAACTCGTATGTTCTAAATTTTTACCCATATGTTCTAAATTTTAAATCAGTTCTCATATAAGTATGAATTCTCACATATGGACCTATTCTCACCGGATCCCTCCCCTATATATATATATATATATATATAGCCTTCCTAAACAAGATACGAAAGGAAAAATGACACTTTTTGTGAATGAAGGAGTAATGGAGTATAATTCAACCTTTCTTTTTTTCTCGTCAAACGATTTCTATCACAATAAAAAACAATATAAATGCAAATCATTGTGAATATCAGGTTCAAAGGCATCTCCAACTAAGAATTGAAGCACAAGGTAAGTACATGCAAAACATAATCGAAAAAGCATGCCAAACACTAGCAGGAGAGACAAATTCAGCAGCTTCAGCTAGCTATAAAGGAAACAATATTCTACCTGGCAATAGCCCTCATATGAACTTTCCTTGCCTCCAAGACCTTAACATATATGGTGGTGATCAAGTGGATCTCCACCGGAGTATGGACGCGAACCGGCCGTCTTTCGAGAACTTCATGAAAGCACCTAGTGACAATCTTTGCTTGGGCCAAAAGTGGCCAAATCCTTACATTGGGGGTAATGGTAAGAGCCCTCTAATTTGGTTTGATGATCTAGGTCTTCAAGAACTTGGCCCCTCAGCCAATTGATAGATGCATCATTATAAACATTATAGAAGATGGTTGTGAGTAGGAAAAGAATATACATGTATTACTAACAAAAAGGATTTCTTTTTTTAATATATTTTTGTACATCTTGGATTTTTACATCCTCAGAAAATTGTAGCACCTTGTGTTTCATTATTTTTTATTAATATACGGCTTATGTAGAAGAAATTATACTAAGCTCTCCTATGCAAAATGTTTCAAAAACTTATTTGACCTATTGTTTCGTAATACCAAATTTTCGTAATGAGTATTTTTTTTTAAAAAAAAAAGAAGAAAATGATTTCGTTAATGAAAGATAGTCAAACAACACTTACAAATAATTTCGAGGAAATCTAAAATTCCAACATATTTACAATTCACCTTAGGACTAGTTACATTGCAGATTCGATTAACGATCGCCTTTACAAAAATCATCATCCGAAACAATACAATATGTGAGTTAGCACTAATTAATTCGGGTTGAAATTCACGGATGAATAGTTATTTGGATGATAAAACTCATATGGCCTTCTAGATACTTGTAAAGATTGTAAAACACTAAGTTTTCAATCTTTGGCAAACGAACATACAAAAAAAATAAACCTAAAAGAATAAACTGAAGGAGTTTATAGGTACTAATTGCGGAAAAACATGAATCATATTCATAAAACACCTAATCCCAGGATCCACACATAAAGAACAAGTAATGATACCTTTGAAGCGTGATTCCACATGCGATCAAGCACGAACAATGGGAGATAAAGAACCTCAAACGTGATTCCTCTACTTGGTCCATGGGCACAGATTAAACCTCCACTAATGCTAGTTAGTCTTGATTGAACCTTTCAATCAACCTTCTATGGAGAGGAGAGGAGCGAACAACCAAAGAACCACCACCACGAACACCACACGCTACCTAGTGGTGGCCAACCGTATGGAGGGGTGAGAAGGGAGGGTCGTGACTGAGAGAGGAAAGAGAGAGCTAAGAGTTTATTGGAATTGGTTGCTTGTTTCACAATTTACTGACTTGTAAATTGTGACTTAATGCAACCCTAGACATGAATCTAATTTTTAGATTATATCTCTAAATACGAGTCCACGTCAAGCCCAAATATCTAACTCTAATCCAACTACTCTAGCCCATTCATGGTATGTCATCTCCTCATGAGGCTTATTAATGAGCCTTTTACATGTTTAACCTAATACCCTTGTTGTGTGACCTCATAGGATCTGTTCTAGAGAGATTTGGGCTATTTGACTAGCCCAAAAATTATTTATCATAATCTAGCAATAGACAATGACGACCCAAAAGAACGAGCTTATTATCTCCATAATAGTGATCCTTGATATATCTAGTAATTACACTTATCGAAGACATAATACCTTCAATCTCCCACTTGTCTTAGACAAATGCGCAAAATTAAAATCCCTTAAGTCAATGTGTGTCAATTTGATAATATGATTACATCTCATGTCATGATCATATTAAACTACAAATCTTTTCTTGAAATCTGAGTTAGAATTAAAAAAAAAATGATTATTATGTAATCCATTTGATCATGGCCATGCATTTTCTGAATTCTCCCTCTTTAAGGGGCTAAGAAACATTCCTAATTAAATAGGTAGACTCAATCCAATCTTGTGGAAACCAAAGCTCCCACTCAACTCATGAAGTAACCAGGAAACATCTTTTATAATCTCCAGTTACGGTTAGACTTTTGAGTGTACACAGTTAAATAGATCATTGAATGGAATCAATATTCCACTCATTTTAAAGGAATCCACTAATATATTCGGAAGCTCTATACTTGAACTTAAAAGGAGGTCTATAGTTCGATATGATCATGCATCATTAATGCATATCCATGTGATTAGCCGAGCTTCACTACGCTCCTATAGCACATGAAACTGCGATATCCAATCAATCTTACGTGCTAGTCCATTTATTGAAATCATTTATGTCGCTACTTTAATGATTTCGAACTAGGAACTTAAATAATATATGAATTTCGTTAATATGTGTTGTCTCATTCATCATGTCATCAACTTGATGAGCCCATCAATCCATAATTATTTTGGACATTTTATTTAATTTGAAAAACCATAATTAAATAAGATTGAAACTTTATTTCAATTGATAAACATAATTCTACAAGTTAATGTAATTACTTATGTGATACGTTTTCTCAAAACATATACAACTTAAGTTACATAATTTGCTTCAATCCAAGAACCTTGATATGACTCTCATAGCTTGGTCATGGAAGGGGTTTAGTAAGTAGAGTTCATGAGACATTCTCATAAACATGAGTTTTTCTACTTCTAAATTTCATAATCATATTCATCTCCATACACTAAGAATTTTCCTTCATCCTTTCGCAAGGAATGAACTTAGGAATTTCTAATTTGAATTCCAAAATTATATTAGATTTTGATTGAACCTATCATCACTTGTTCTTAAAACATGTGAATTAAATAGACGAGTATAGTCAATGATATGCACGCTGCATCCTTTGCAAACTCCATAAGAAGCATTACTCAATACATTAATTTGATCAACCTTTCACAAAGCATTTAATCTTTAATCAATGTGGCATGTTACATGGGAATGAAACTCCTTTCAATATACTATTGAACCTTATAAGGCTCTTATCAATATAAGTTTCTTAACCAATCTCAAACAACCTTCGAGACCTCTATATATAGAGCTTGAGTCCCAAATGTGCTCATCATTCTCTTCAAGGGTTTTCATACAAATTGCATTGACTATCACTTGACTCTTCAAGCAATGAATAATTTCTCTTTATACTAGACCAAGAAGAGTGTATAGCTCATACTAAACTTCTTGTATATACAAGACCTTTTCTTCATTTTACGAGAACATCAAATGATTTGATTAACTCACAAAATTAAGAACATTAACTCCATGATGCTTACTTACTCCAGTAATGGGTCTTTTAAGCATCCTTATGATTATTGGATTTTCAAAACCATTCTGATTGTATCATATACTGATCTTCTTTCATGAAATATTTCAAGAATACCCTTTGAAATCCATCTACCAAATCTCATAAGGTAGAAATCTCAAAAATATCTTTCATAGAGCTTTGCAACATAACTAATGTAAAGGTTTCATCGTAGTCATAGTCATATTATGAATTAGTTGAACCCTTTAACAAGTCTATGCTTTAGTTAGAAAACACTTTTTTTTCTTTTCTGATTTGTTTATAATGGGTCTCATTTAATAAGGCAAAGCGTCAAGGTACATATTTATTAAATTATGATTTGACATATTAAACGATTAACTTTATAAATAAATTAACACTTGTGGAATACATAAAGGTTAATAATATTACTTGCATAATTATATGTTCCAAAATAAATATTTTGAAACTCTTAGTCTATATGAAATCATATTTCTTTGGGGAAGGTTTACTTATGCTAGTCATCATAGTGAGTTTTTGATGCAACAAATTTCAATGAGAAACGACAATAGAGGATGTGTAATTGGAATGTACTACCTTTGACACATGGTTATTATTCTCATTACACTCAATGAGACCGCGCGTTATCATTTGTAACATGAGGAGAATAATGCTCATATTATTGCTTTTATTCGATTACTTCTCGAATTTCTTTAAGATTTTTTAATTCACTTTTCTTGAACTTTTCAAAGTTTCTCGAACTCTTTCGAGATTCTTATACTCCCACTTGCCATTTGAGGAGGCACATTTAGCATAGGGTGAACTAACCATGGTTTAAACCATGTTTTTTTGTTGCTTTTCTCGAACTCATTCGAGATTTATACCTCTCCCACTTGACATGTTGGAACAATTTCCATAAGGACACCTACTTGAGCAACAAAAATTTTGTGCTAAGTATTATTTGTGTAGTAGTACCCCGTGCTCTTTATAGGAATTGATCGTTGTAGACACCTAAAATGTCTCCCCAAAACCAAACCCGATTGGTCGGCTCCAGTATTTAATCCCGAGAGTACTTAAAAAATCGTATTTGATTAAATTCGTATTTTTGAGCAGTTCATGGATTAGTCTTGATGTTTGGTAAAAGCATAGTTTAATTTCAGCCCAAACTTATTATTTAATTTTAGCCCAAACCTTTTTTATTTTATTGTTTTATTATTTATTTTTGGCCCAAAATTCTTATTTATTTTTATTTAATTATTTTCTTATTTTAGCCCAAATAATAATAAGTCAGAAAAGGCCTGAAATTATCAATCGGCACTTAAAATGCCGAATAAAATTAAGGTTAAAAATGTATTTAGACGGAAAAGTGGGCTGGGAATTCCCGCGCCACGGCAGGTACCCACTGTTTCACGGGAATTAGTCCCATCTGACAATGGGATTTCCCGTGACACGGGAAATCAGCCAAGACACGGGAAATTCCGTGTCTTTTCCGCGTAAACCCTTAACGCGTTTTCTTCCCCGTTTATTGAAAATTTCCCGCGTCACACTAAAAACCCACCATGTCACGGGAATGTTTCCCGTCTGACGGTGGGACTTCCCGTGACACGGTACAGTTTGCCGTGTCGCGGGATACTTGTTTAGGGTTTTTATCATTTTAGGGTTCCGTGTGCTCCCTCAGCACATTTTCCCTATAAATACCCCGCTCATTTCTAATGTACGGGGCACCAATTAATTCTCTAGTTTATTTTTCTCTCTTCTATGCTTTAGCCTAAACACTAGCCTACCCTTCATATTTCAAAATTCCTTCTTCAAGTGCTCAAAGGAGTCCATACTTTACCCGTGGTTCTGTCCTTAAGCTAAGGCGTGAAAGGAAGAACTGTTTGAGGGTTTGGCCCCAAATCAACTCTACTTTATTTAATTTAATTTATTGTTGTTTTCTTATTGTTTCCTTGAACTTACTAACTCGTTTATTATTTTGTAGTAGCAAACAAACATAATCAAAGTAAGAATTATGTTCCTCTTATTTCTATTATTTTTCTAACGATTTTATATTGTTGGAATTATGGCTAAATTGCTTCCAATATTAATGTTTGTTCTATTATATTTTTTATTGATCACCATATTGCATGTTTAAAGGGAATATGTAATTGAAAATCACGCCTAATAAGATAATTTGGAAAACCGGTTAAGGTTCCTTTTTAATCTTGTTGTTTAATCAAGTGATCACAAATATTTTAGAATTATATGTTGCATTAATATTTAACCACTTTAGCTTAATAATAGTTTGGAGCAAATTGAATATT